AAGATCAACCCTGTTTTTAAGCACAGGCAAAATAATAACAGAGGATATTGATAGCAGACTTTAAAAAAAATATCGAATCATAAGCACTGGTATCCTAATCCAACACAATTTTAAGCAAATAATAGAAAATTCGAAAAACATGCAATAGCGTGTAAGCTAGTTTAATCCTTAAGATTATCGCTATACGGCCTAGTATTGATTGGCTTGTCATAGATAAATAAATAAAAATGGCTCGTGGTGTGCGCGTTCGAGGCTCGAGCGATGTATCCATTACCTATTTATATATCTGTGTTGTTAAATAGGTACTTACTTGATAAATAAATAATCAATTAGTTACAAAAATAATCTTTGTATTTGTTAAGAGCCATATGACAAATTTTCACTCTGTGAGATTAGGTATTTTGAAGCGTTCCGAGTTCTCGACAACTTGTTCAAGGTCACGGGTACACATTACTGTGTTGAAACTACGACCAAGCTATTTTGATACTTTTCCCAATTTTTGTATTTTTTTAGTATTTCTATGGTGAGATTTATTATCGATTCCCGAATATTTTAACACGACTGCTCTCGAAAAGGAGTCTATTGTTTTTAGAATTAATGTATGTATGTGAGTTTTTTTATTGCACCATAACTTTTGAAAGATATAACGGATATGAATGTATAGGGTATCATTAGAAACATTATCCTAAGTTCCTATGATGGCGACCATCTTGGATTTGTAATTTGTCATAGTGTACGTATAGTATTCTATTTGATATCCGTATTGAGGGAGTCATGACAAAATATGTAGGCAATCCAATATTTTGTGGCGGCGGCCATCTTGGAGTTGAAATTTGTTAGAATTCTATAGGTACCAACATGTATTCTGCTATTAGACAAGTAGCGCCATCTTTGCTTTGTTATCCGTAATGTTGTAGGGATGTCGTCAGAAATATAAAAGTGACAGTCGTTAATCCAGAAGTGCGTGTTTTAATAGGTTATGGGCTAATTTCCAGATTTTCTTAAGTAATTAGTATTACAGTTTAAGAAAAACGCTGAACTTTTGTGTAGATAATGGCTTTGAATTATATACAAAGTGTTCCCAAACTGAAAGGTAGGGAAAATTATGATGAATGGAGTTTCGCGGCAGAAAATTTGTTAGTGCTAGAGGGTATGATACAGTACATCAAGATGCCTATGCCCGGCGCAGAAACAAAGACTGCAGACGACGAAAGGACTAAGGCAAAGTTAATATTGACCATTGATTCAGGACTGTGTCATAGTGTTCAGTATTCTACTACTCAAGTCCTCTTATTTGATACCCATATTGATGGAATCGTGATAAAATATGTAATCTGACATTTTGTGGCGGCGGCCATCTTGGATCGATTTTCATCAAATAAATTTGACATAGTGAAGAACACTCCCGACTGATACACCTTTCAAACAAAAACAAAAATCTAAATCGGTTCATCCGTTCGGGAGCTTTGATGCCGCAGAAAGACACACACACAATCCAAGTATATTTTTTGGAATAAAAATGTAGGCATTTTCACTGTCAAATACGGTTATAGTTTAATATTTTTTAATGAAACCGTCTGTTTTTCGAATTTATTTAAATTTAAATCAACTATGACACATAAAAATACACTTACATTATTTTGCCTAAATCCAGCCCTGTTTTGAAAGCTACGTAGATTGCAATCAACTGTGACGTCCCGTCCAACTTTACTCAATGTAGGTAAGGAACTTAAGACCCATATTACATCTCAACTGTGATTTCTGTGTGATTTTTCTCGGAAACAAAAATAAATTAATAATTTTGACTTGTTGAATAGTGAAGAATAACTCTTGGTATAGCTTTTTGGAGATTTTGCTCATCTTTTTAATTAAACCCAAAATACCAGAGAAAGATTTTCATAAAACGCGCAAAGACACTTTTTTGAACTCCTGGATTGAGCTACTGTTTTTAACAAACGAAATAAAAGAAATAGAATGATATCTCTTATATAGTCGTAAAGTAAACAGTAGCGTCGAAATTTTGAAATAGCACTAATTAAATATAGAAAAACAATCATAATATAAACCAAAAAACATCAAAAATTGCTTGAAGTTAACTTTGAATTTCTCTTAGCTACAAAATTATTATTTAACAAAATTTATGACAGATTAATGACTATTTCATAAGGAACAAAGTTATTATAATTTTAAAGCATAAATTTATTATATTATTTCAATAAATACGATAAATGTAAACGCAAAATCACTACAAAATAAGATGCAGCGGCCGTCTGAGCTCAGTACCGCGCGAGCGCTCCTCAACGTTAGACCTGTGTCGCATTTCTTCGCGCCATTTTTCGATCTAGATACGTTCGAGCGAGCGTTAATAGAGCAGTATAGTGGGACTTCCAACTTTGGTCACGAAGTTCGATTTATATGGAATTTATATAGCTTATTGAATTATTTCTAATACACATTTGTTATTTTCAGCATAGGTCGAAAGACCCCTAGGTATATTTGTATAAGAAAGTTAAAATATATATTTATATTAAGAAATGCAAATAAAGCAAGGTACTTCTTCTCTCAATACACTTATACTAGCTACATAAAAATTGGAGTGCATATTTGTAATATTAAAATAACCGCTTTTCACTAAATACATTTGTGTGTATACATGGTACATATACAAAAATAATATTTTTTATCTGTCTGTCTGTTAGTTCTGGATAATCTCTGAAACGGCTTGGCCGATTTTGAAGGGACTTTCACTAGAAGTTGACTTACGTAATAAGGATTAACTTAGACTTATGGCTCGATGCAATTCGACCGATATCAAATTTATCGGAGATCCGCATATCAAACAACTTTTTCTAAATTCAATATATTTTTAATCCCCGACGCAAAAACGATGCGGTGATATAAGTTTGACGTGTGTGTTTGTCTGTCTGTGTCTTTTTGTGGCATCATAGCTCCCGAACGGATGAACCGATTTTGATTTTGTTTTTTTGTTTGAAAGGTGTATTAGTCCGGATTGTTCTTCACTATGTCAAATTTATTTGATGAAAATCGATCTAAGATGGCCGCCGCCACAAAATGTCGGATTACATATTTTATCACGATTCCATCAATATGGGTATCAAATAAGAGGGCTTGAGTAGTAGAATACTGAACACTATGACAAATTTCAAATCCAAGAGGGCCGCCACCAAAAATGTTGGATTACCTACTTATTTCTCACGACTCCCTCAATACGGATATCAAATAAAAGGGCTTGAATAGTAGAATACTGTTTATTATGACAACATTTTATATACAAGATGGCCGCCGCCACAAAATGTTGGATTATCTACATTTTTTGTCACGACCCCCTTAATACGGATTTCAAATAAAAGGGCTTGAGTAGTAGAATACTATAAACTATGACAAATTTCAAATCCACGATGGTCGCCACCAAAAAGGTTGGATTATCTACATATTTTGTCACGACTCCATCAATACGTATATCAAACAAAAGGGCTTGACCGTATACTATGACAAAATTTTATATACAAGATGGCCGCCACCACAAAGTGTTGGATTACCTACATATTTTGTCATGACTCCCTCAATACGGATATCAAATAGAATACTATAGGTACACTATGACAAATATACAAATAGGTACACTATACAAATCGAAGATGGTTGCCATCATAGGAACCCTAAGTTCCTATGATGTTTCTAATGATACCCTATACATTCATATCCGTTATATCTTTCAAAAGTTATGGTGCAATAAAAAACTCACATACATACATTAATTCTAAAAACAATAAACTCCATTTCGAGAGCAGTCATGTTTAAATAATTGGGAATCGATAGTGAATCTCACCATAGAAATACTAAAAAAAATACAAAAATTGGGAAAAGTATCAAAATAGCTTGGTCGTAGTTTCAACACAGTATTGTGGACTCGTGACCTTGAACAAGTTGTCGAGAACTCGGAACGCTTCAAAATACCTAATCTCACAGAGTGAAAATTTGTCATATGGCTCTTAATGTTCCATGACAATCTCTTCCTACGCAGTAAGTGCACAAATCTGTACATTGCATACCACATTTTCACAGGTGCAATTTCGACAGCAAGATACTTTACACCGACAAGATATTGATATATTTTAATCCAGTATATTTTATTTAAAAACTTAATTATCTGTAGTTATAATTCATTAACTATCTTTACAGCTGTAGCATTAAGGCTCCTGGTAGTGTAAAGAAAGACATCAGCTTTCTTGTTTACTAAAATAAGAAAATGAGGTATTAAAGTTGGCTTATTGCAAAATCATTTTTTTGTCATAAGCTTAATATAACTGACAACATTACGAGACACCTATTATGCCAGAGTGGTAAGTGTAAGTTTTACGCTAACGAGTTCACTAGTGAGCGCGTTAAGAATTTGTATGGAGATTTATATTTCTTGGTAGTTACCGCTAGAGGCGCTTTACCGGATTCTATACTAAAATCTTAACGCGCTCACGATCGACAGTGAACGTAAACATCAAAAAACTTACACTAAGCATTCTGGATCATGCCATACAGTGTGACCATATTCAGTATTTTAATACTTTTTCGGTATATTTTATCGACTTTTCCAAGCATCAGTATTTTTGTAGGTATATTGGCGGAAGTCAGTATTTTTTGGTATATTTTGGATAAAAAGTTATGGCAACACAATAGCGAACGTCTCCGCGAATTTCTGCCAGGGAATTTCCCGGACTTAGTCTATTATTTCATTCGGGAGCAAAGATCAGTAAGTTATAGATAGGACATGGCAAGCGTCCGCCGAAGTAAAATTATTAACAGTATCGAATCATCTAATACGGTTTAAATAAAATGAGTTTCTGTTCTGCACTTAACTTAATATTTGAAGTTATTCTTTCGATAAATCGGGAATTTCCCCTTTGTAGTACGTTTTTGTCATCATATAAATAGAGCGCTTTCCTTTTGTTTTTATTTTACTTGACGCATCCGTCCGGAACGAAATGTCTAGTTTTCAGCAAAGTTATTTGGCTAAGTGGGAACAAATTCCGGAGTTTTCTTCGTGGCTTTCACGTTATAAAGATGACGAGTACGCCGCCTTTTGCAAAGCATGCAGTGCGAAACTCCAAAGTAGATTAGCATCTATAAAACAACATGCAAATAGTGAAAAGCATAAATCGAACTTTAAAAAATATAAAGGACAGTCAAAGGTAAGCATACATTGATATATATAGCATTACTGTAGCTAAAGTCAAGAAGTTCTGTTGTTGTTGTTCTGGAGATGTTTTTATTAGTGGGTGGTCTATGCTTACCATTTATTTTATTTGTTTCCAGGTTGATAAATTTTTTAGAAAGGTACCACTGAAAGACGAAGTCAAGAAAGCTGAACTCCGTTTTTGCAGTTTTTTTGCAGAACACAACATCCCTTTTAGAGCTATGGACCATCTTAGTGAAATTCTAGTAAAGTGTTTTCCCGACTCCGAAAGAATTTTCCTGCAAGAGGACCAAAGCAGCCGCTATAACTTATAACGTTTTAGGACCCGAATTTGAAAAAGATATGATTGTAGACATACTTCGTACTGCATCTCCGTCAGGTAAACCAGTTTATTCAATTGTAATTGACGAAAGTACAGATGTTGCCACAGTCAAAGTATTGGCGATAGTAATCAAATACTTCTCTGAAACCGAATGTACAGTAAAAACCAAATTCCTTGATTTAGTTGATTTAAGTGGTGAGACCGCAGATCATTTATTTAATGCTTTGTCATCAAAGTTATCCGAATTAGGTTTAGATATAAAAGATGTGTTGGGATTCGCTGCTGATACTACGAATGTGATGTTTGGTCAACATTCTGGCATTGTTGCAAAAATTAAAGAAGTGAACCCAAAGTGCTTTTTCATAAAATGTGTTTGTCACTCTGCAGCATTAAGTGTTAGCCATGCTTGCAAAATACTGCCTAGAAATTTAGAACAGATGATAAAAGAAGTATATGGATATTTTTCTCAAAGCAGCAAGCGTCAAAGAGAATTTGCTGAGTTCCAAAATTTCACTGACACTGAAAACCATAGACTATTACGTCATTATGATATAAGGTGGCTATCGCTTCATGCTTGTGTTAGTAGAATAATTGAGCAATGGAGGGCACTGCAGTTGTTCTTTCAAGACCAATACTTGAGTGATCGCATTCTATCATCAGAAATGATATATAATTTTTTTACCAGTGATATAAACAAATTGTACTTCTACTTTTTAGATTACATTTTGCCGATTGTTAACAAATTTAACATAATTTTTCAAGGCGACTATCCGTGCATTGAAAAATTATACGATGATGCATCTAGTATGTACTTGTCGATTTTGGGTTGCTTCATGAAAACTAATTATATCAAAAGCACGGACAACGTATTTACGTTAGACCCAAAGTCTACTATAAATTATTTGCCATTAAATGATATGTACTTAGGGATCCGAGTGGGTCAATAATTAATCAAACACAGGGAAAACATAAACATGAAAGAACAAATTGCTGATTTTTTCAGAATGTGCCAATCTTTTTTAATTGAGTTGAGCACACAATTAAAATCACGTTTGCCTTTTGATAATAAAATTTTCCGAGAACTGAAATTTCTCGACCCACACACTGCCGTGAATAAAGAATTTCGCAGTTTAAGAAATATAATAGAAACTTTCCCATACGAAGTACAGCCAGAACAAATGCAGTTAATTGATGAAGAATATAGAACCCTTAAACTTGATCGCGAAGTAAGTGATTTGTTACAATCTTCGAGTTCTAGCTCACCCCTTTCTTGTGAACAATTTTGGGTGGAAGTTGGGAAAATTTCTAATAGTGCTGGCACGTTCAAGTACCAAAATTTAACTGCATTCAGTAAATCTCTGTTATGTATACCGGTATCGAATGCTGCATGCGAGCGCATATTTTCACAGATAAATTTAAAAAAAACGGAACAAAGAAACAGATTTATAAACAAAAATGTATCAGCAATTTTACATACAAAGCAAGGTGTAAAAGATCAAGGAGGTTGTGTTAATTTTAATCCCTCAAATAGAATGTTAAAATACAATTCTAACATTTATTGTGATGATTGATTAAACTTTAAAATTTTAAAATCAGTATTTTTATTGGTATATTTTCCCTGTTCAAGTTGGTATATTTCAGTATTTTTTTGAGGTGCTTCGGTATTTTCGTAAAAAATAATCTGGTCACACTGATGCCATACCTTACGTTTCGCACCCCGCGCTTTCTCCGCAAGCCCTTTGTAGTAGTTTAATATGATAAAACTTTTATTTAAAGTATTTCTGGGTGGATTTTAATGATATTTAGTAGAATACGTGTTTGACTCAAAAGTCTGCTGCATATATAGCGTGTTATATTTTTGCTTCATAAATAATTTTAAGGCTGTTGGTATGCAATATTCCCATGGAAATTTTCATTGGATTCAAAACAAAATATACTTAACGCAATATAGTAATATCGATTGAAGTCGTATTTCATTGTTAATATTATTGATTTTTTTACAAATATTTTTTAAATATATATTGTCCGTGTTTCTATAAAAATATGATTTTCCAAATATAATATTAGGAAGATTTAAGTATTTCATGGAAGTAACTTATGTAACAATGTAAAAATACGTAGAAGTCACTTTATATGTATTTTGCTTATCATGCCATTGAGAAATTAAAGGAATATTATTTTTTTTACTAATAATCCGAAAGAAAATGTCGTTGGATTAATTCATATTTTAAAAAGGAAATATATGATACCTTCATAATAAAAAAAAACAGCTGTTATGTTTTAATGTTTGATCTCCATACTGGAAGTTGGTATTTGTATCAGGCTAGTATACTGTTTACCCTTTCATTTCGGTTTCAAACAAAAACACTTTTAATCTGTTAACCGTATCAATCTGCAACCGTTTCAGACGGTAAGCGAATGAATCGGTAACCTTTATAAGCGGTTACCGTTATGAATGGGTTATCCGTTCCCTGTTATTGAATTCGTTTATTTACCCTAACCGAAACGAATTACCGCTAAAAACTCGGGTTAACCAATAATACAAGTTAACAGTTTCAATTAATAACCCTTTTATTTCGGTTTAGACTGTATACTGTTTACCCTTTCATTTCGGTTTCAAACAAAAACACTTTTAATCTGTAAACCGTATCAATCTGCAACCGTTTCAAACGGTAAGCGAATGAATCGGTAACCTTTATAAGCGGTTACCGTTATGAATGGGTTATCCGTTTCCTGGGTATTACAGTGATGCAAAGTAAATTTTACTTACTTCATATTTTTTCAAGTCAACACACACCTTACGTTATTGTTGTTATTCTTTGTAGTTTTTATTTTTTAATTTATTTTAGTGTGAAATTTATATTAATTGATAGATATAATTGCTGTTATTTTTATTTATTTCTGATCTACTAATATCATTGACTTTAATACATGTTTATATTCTGATTTATTATTCTATTATTTCTTACACTAATGACCCGTCAATGAATAGTTTATATTATACGAGTACTTCTTACTTGACAATAATAAAGAAGCAACATTCGTACGTTTACTTATTATTGAATAAAATGAGTGAACGGGAAAATATAGGTACTGGCTTGTTCTGCTTGCAATGGTTTGGTCTGCTATTTTATTTAAGGTTTTTCACACTCACGGATTGGCGGCATCTTACATTGATAAATATCTTTGTCGAGTTTTGTTGCATTGCGGGTATCTGTTGATCGCATGTGCTTACATCATTCAATATAAAAAGTCTAAGCGGTTGTCTGTTGGTTTACTGAATCCTGGATCATTGGGAACACAACATGTTGAATTTATAGCTGCAATGTCTCAGCACAATGTTGATATAATGACAATTAATGAAACCTGGCTTAGAGAAAGAGAAGAATTGCGGACGCCGTTATTGCCGGGCTATCGTTTGCGCCATATTCCACGGTTCGACTCTGTTCGCACGCGGGGGGACGGGGTTGGCTTTTATATTCGTCGGGAAATAAGTGCACGAATTATCAAGCATCCGTCCGCACCGTCTGTTGAACAAATGTGGATAAGGGTTAATTGGAGTGGTGTAAGACTGGCGATTGGTACAGCATATCGCCTTCCGTGGTTTAACGTTGAAATATTTATCGATGCTCTTACAGAGTCTTTCACCACGCTTGGTCGCTTTGATCGTATCGTTTTAGTCGGAGATTTTAATATTGGCTAAGGATGGGTCGGGCTCGGCAGGATAGGCCACGACCACTACTAGTTGTGCTGCGTGTGGAAGCAGTCCGAGACAAACTGTGGGCTATAAAAACTGGTCTTAAGGGCTCTGGCATTACAATGTCAGAGTTCCTTACGAAACACCGACATAAAATATTTGTTGCGGCTCGTGAACGGTTTGGAGTATCAAAGTGTTGGACCAATGCCGGGAGCATCTTTGCTATTGTCGGAGAAGGCAAGCGACATCGAATACTGTCCCTGACCGATGTTGAAAGGTTGGGTGCGATTAAGCCTGCGAAGAAGCTGCAGCCTTCTTCTAATAAAGGACAAGCAACAGGTATATCATCCACTGGCGTAAGGGGCAAACGTGCGGTCTCTGCAAAGAGGAAGTAAATTGTAGGTTTGTGTTTACCATTTTGTCAAAATCTTTACGTATAAGTACCTTACATTAATATTGTCAACTCTTTCTGTATAACTATTTTTATATCTTGTTTATTTTTCACCATCAATAACGATAAATTTTTGTTAGTTTACCCGTTTATCACAAACACAATTATTATAAATTCATTCTGTTTACATGTTTATATCTTCCACTTGTCATTTTGAGCTGTTCATAAGTCACTTTAAACTCTTATTTTATTTAAGGCGTAGGGATATTAGCTCATACAGCCTTAAGCAGTATTCTACTTAAAATATTAAGGCGGGGGCACATTTATGAACTTTGTACGGCTGTTATGTGTTTCCTGCTTCTATCAGCTTTGATGAATACGACTGTTTGATGTCCGTTGAGTGTATCCGTTGCTTTCGTTTCTTCTATTTGTTAAGATGTTGTGTACGTATAAATGTATTGTAATATATTAGGTACTTTCAGACAACCTTTGGGTATTTATATATGTAAGTAGTGTAGACATATTAAGTTTTTTATTTAGTTTATTTTTATATTATATTTGACATGGATTCATTAGATAGTGATCTTTTTCTATATAATGTACTGCAAATATATAAGTGTAAATATGATTTAATAATTATGTAAATATAATTAAGTGTTTTAGTGCTAAGTTTTGTATATAGAATACATAAATTTAAGATATTGTAATAATGAAATTTATATTAAATAATATTTTAAAAGTAATAAAATATTTATATAATATAAGTAACTATTGTGAGTGTATGCCCACAATACCTTCTGTGATGCTGCTAAAAACTTCAATGTGGTTCATATTAACGCACAAAGTGTCCCAGCTCATTTTCCAGACATGCTTACTTCTTTCACTTGTAAAAACATCCACGCTATTCTTATTTCTGAAACGTTCCTTAATCTTCGTCTCTCATCGACTTCCTATTCTTTACCTGGCTTCCAGTTGATCCGTAATGACCGTGTGAGTTCACCCCACCATGAGAAGAATTCACACGGTCATTACGGATCAACTGGACTCAGGCACAGAGTGTCGAGTTGCGGAAAAGCTAAAGTGCGACTAAAGTGCAGCCAATGCACGGAGGCTCTCGGATCCACGTGACGCTCGTGTAGCGCCTTGTAGAACCTACCGTGCAACTCCTTCTCCCTCCAAACGGCCTCTCGGTCAGTGGTGCTAAGTACTGCTGGTTCTCGCCATTGCTCGGTGGCTACAGAGAGAGGGGTTAGTCCTACATCACATGCTTTGACATCTCTATGCAACTCAATGGACTCCGATTTCGCCAGGAAGTAATTACGGAGACTGTGTATCTCGCGGTTGTGCAGGGTTTTCGCACTGAGCAGCCCACGACCGCCGCTCTTTCGCAGGATATACAGCCTCATCACTGACGATCTCGGGTGGTGCATCCTATGGAGTGTCAAAGTTGTGCAGACTTTCCGATCCAGGGCGGCCAATTCGGTCTGACTCCATTTGAGTATGCCAAAGGTGTACATTAGGACGGGCATGACCCAGCCGTTAATGGCCCTCACTTTATTGACGCCTGACAGGTAGCTTTCAAGCACCTTAGTCAGGCGTTCCAAAAAGGCCTCCTTAACAGATTGTTTCACGTCCGCCATATGCACACCCAGATTCTGTGACATACCCAGATACCGGTATGTATCAGTTTCGGAGAGGGTACGGATGGTGGATCCACCCGGTAGGTCCACTTGGGTGGAGTCACTTATCCGACCTCTATCCGCATGGATGACCGCACACTTGTCCAGCCCAAACTCCATGCTGATGGAACTACTGAAATCCTTTGTGATTTTCAGCAACTCCGCCAGCCTCTGAGCATT